GGTGGAGAGCAAATGTTTTGAGAATGATGAGGGCAATGAATGTACAAATGTGCTTTACACAATTGATGCATGTATGAATTGTGATAAGAGTTTTATGAGCCCCTAATAAATGAATAAAAAGGGGGTGCAACATAGGCAACCATTTCCTTCTCAATAAAAAGAAATACCATACATACTCGTATATAAGCCAAGTTTTTCAGCACATTTTTAATGTAGTTTTGTGGTAAAATTAGGTGCCACGGCTGATATTCAGGTTGGCTTATACTCAAGTATACATAGTACTTCGGTCATTCACACAAGTCCCATGTATTTATTCTCTGTCTAAAGACAACAGGGAAAATGAACCTTTACAGTGGTAGGCTCCCTATTTATGCAACCATCAAACTTAGCGTCCCCGACAAGTGTCACAATCTGGCATAATGTGCCTGCTTTGCATCAATGAGAAGTACGCAAGATCACTTACGTAGCTCAAAACAACACTCACTGCCACCGAGTCGACGCCGACTCATAGTGATCCTATAAAACAGTGTAAAGCTGTCCCTGTGGGTTTCGGAGACTGTCACTCCGTACAGAAGTAGAAACCCCTGTCTTGCTCCCAGTCATGTAGATGCGATGCCAAAAAGGTTCACCCTGAATTGGAAAACCAATCAACAGTGAGGTAAATCCATCAAGGAAGTTGGTGTATAAGACAGCTAACCTGAACATGTCCAAAAAAGTCAACTGTCATAAAGAACACAACGTAATGGGGGAGTAATTCCAGACTAGAGAGATACAAACACCAAAGGCAATGAGTTTACCTTGATTGGGTCCTCAAATAAAAAAAAAAAAACAGATATAAAAGACACACATTTTGGACAATTAAACAGTTTTGAGCAGATATATCTCAGAGAGACCCTGGGTTCATTTCCAGACTACCTCCATAAGGCAAAAAAAATGTCCAGAAAGCAAGTCACATGACTTTCCTGGTTTCCCAAAGCATATCAAAGTTAGGTTTACATGTCACTACAGAGTTATTAAGTGTGTAATAGCATTAGGGAAAAAAAAACTTGAAATGTGTGATACTGATTAAAATGTGCCCCAGAGACACAAGGCGAGCACACTTGGAAATGTGGTGCCATGAAGCACAATATAAACTATAATAAAATGGGAGCTTCAGAAGGCTTGTGGGAAAATGGAATGAAAAGACAATGGAATTCTTCTGTGGGAGTTTTGCAGCTCCCTCGTATACAGACTGTATATGACATGACATTAGTGAATAAGTGATACCATTTATAGGTGGGCAGGGGTATTATGATTATACAGATGAGCATCCTCTTTCTTAGAGTATGCTAAAGTAGTACAGATAAATTCTGATAATATCCTGGAATTGGTTCCAAAATATAGAAATTTTAAAATTTCATAACAACAGCTAAGAGCCCTAGTAGTGTACGAGTTACGTGTTGGGCTGCTAACCTTAAGGTCAGTAGTAGTTTAAAACCCACCAGCCATGCTGCAGAAGAAAGACAAACCTTTCTGCTCCCTTAAAGAATTACAATATTGCTCACAGCATTGGGTAAATATGCTGCCCTTGACCTCTTTGAAGAGTTGAAAAGGAGGTTATTTTGAGGACTAACGTGAACCTGACCCAAACCATGGCATCTTCAATTGCCTCATATGCAAGTGAAAATTAGACACTGAACAAGGAAGACCTAAGAAAATTTGAGCCATTTTAATTATGATGCTGATAAAGAATATTGAGAGTACCACGAACATCCAGAAAAAAAAAATCTGTCTTGGAAGAAGTACAGCCAGAATGCTCCTTAGAGGCAAGGATGGCAAGGCTTTGTTTTACTTATTTTGGACATACTGTCAAGAGACACCGATAACTAAGGAAGGTCATCATGCTTGATATAGAGAGGCAGCAAAAAAGAGGAAGGCCCTGAACAGGCTGGATTGACACAGTGGCTGCAACAACAGCTCATACACAAGATCACCTGTAAGGATGGCCCAGGACCAGGCAGTGTTGTGTTCTTTGTACATATGGTTGCTATGAGTTGGAACCGACTCGACGTCATCTAACAACAACAAAGAGTTACAGTCTTGGAAATCCACAGGCGCCAGTCCACCCTGTTCTAACGAGTAGCTAGGAGTTGGAATTAACTTCGAAAGATGAACTACAGATATGCATTTCTAAAGATGGACTGTAAATATATGACTACATATCTGATGAATACAGATTCTATGGATATATACAGTATAGATACAAGGGGGCTCCAAAAAGTTGGTGATCAAATGAAATAGAGATAAAGAATTTTTCCAAGAACTTCTGAAGTCCCTATCCCATGCTATTTTGTTCCATCCGGTCAAGTCCTACCTATAGTGGCCCTATATGATAGATAACTGCCCCATAGGATTTCAAAGCTACAATCTTTACAGGAGGTCACCATGTCTTTTCTCCTGCACACACGCACATGTGCAGCCATGCACGCATGCGTGCACACACACAGGTGGGGCACAGTTGGAAAGAAAGAGAATGTGTCCAAAATGTTAACAACTGGAGAACCAAAGTGAGAAATATATAACATATCATCCTTTCCACTTTTGAGGTTGACAATTTGTCAACATTAAAATAGGGAGAGAGGAAATAAATCCCTAGGAAACAAATACATACCATGGCAGTTCTAGACTTGATAAACCAGTCAAATCTAAATTGAGGCGCATTCCGCACACATTGCCTTAGTTCTTCATACACATTTTCTCTATCGAAGCCCATTTTGTGTAACATGCAAATCAAGAATCTGTCTTCTTCCTCGGTATAGTTTTTTCCTTTGCTGGTTCCATACTGAATACGCAACTGATGAAACGGTGCCTTGTATCTTGCAATCTGTGTATTTAAACCAAATATCATTTATAATTGACTGTGCAATGAGTTACTCAAAGCTAGTCACCCTCCCAATTAATGTTTTTTTCCTTTTTCTTTTTTTCCAAGTTTTATTGGCATATAATTTACATGTCATATAATTGAATATTCAATCGTTCAATTATATCGAGGGTCATGTGCAATCATCACCACATGTATCTTAGAGCCTTCCCTACCCCCATGATTGAATAGCCTTTGAAATGAGTTGTGCAATCTCGATCAGTTCTAGTGCACCCTCCCCCCTCCTGCCTTATTTACCCCCAAATAAAATAACTTTTTAATACTAAGGTGAAAATTATAGTACTTTGGCATCCAGAGCTTTCTTGATACTGATCCTTCGTTGAATTCTTGCTTCTCCACGTTCAATTTGAGCCATGATTTTCTCAATATCCTGAAGTTCATTGCAGCGTTCCCAAAACACAGCTAAAAAAAAAGAGCTATTTTAAATTATCATCACTTTAGGGCCAACGAATCCAAGAAATATGAGAAGGCAGAATTAACAGGGACTTTTTAAAATTAAGATTCAGATTTATCTGTATATGAGGGAGCTTCAAAAAGTTCATAGATAAATGGACTTAAAAGATAATAGAATTCTTCCATGAATTTTTGAAACCGCCTTGTATATACTATGATCAGTTATTAAATTAGCCCTAAATTTTCATTTAAAAATAAGAGTTTAACAAGAAAATTTTTGTGAAATACCAGATCTTTAAGCACCCATCCCAAATGAATGGGATTTCAGACCAGACACATAAAGGGAAACAGGATTCCTTTTTTTTTTTAATCATTTTATCAGGGGCTCTTACAGCTCTTATCACAATCCAGACATACATACATTGTGTCAAGCACATTTGTACATAAGTTGCCATCTCCATTTTCAAAATCTTTTCTTTCTACTTGAGCCCTTGATATCAGCTCATTTCCCACTCTCCTACCCTCTCCCATGAACCCTTGAGAATTTATAATTTTTTTTCACTTCTTACACCGACCGTTGACTCCCTTCACCCACTTTTCTGTTGTCTGTCCCCCTGGGAAGGAGTTATATGTAGATCTTTGTGGCTCGTTCCCTCTTTCTCCCCCCACATTCCCCTTAGCTTCCTGATATCACTACTCTCATTATTGGTCCCGAGGGGTATAATCTGTACTGAATTCCCGGTGTTGCGAGCTGTGATCTGTACCAGTGTACATGCTCTGGTCTAGCCAGATTTGTAAGGTAGAATTGAGGTCATGAAAGTGGGCGGGGGTGGAGGGGTCAGAGAAAGCATCAAAGAACTTGATGAAAGTTGTATATTTCATTGTTTCAATCGGTGCTATACTGCACACCTGACTGGCTCATCTCTCTACTTGTGACCCTTCTGTAAGGGAATGTCCAACTGTCTACAGATGGGCTTTGGGTCTCCGCTCTGTCTTTCCCCTCATTCACATCAATAAGATTTTTTCTTCTGGGTCTTTGATGCCTGATAGCTCAACCCATCGACACCTCATGATCACACAGGCTGGTGTGCTTCTTCCATGTGGGCTTTGTTGTTTCTAAGCTAGATGGCCACTTGTTTATCTTCAAGCCTTTAAGACCCCAGATGCTTTACCTTTTGATAGCCGGGCACCGTTTTCTTCACCACATTTGCTTATGCACCCATTTTGTTTTCAGCAATCGTGTCAGGAAGGTGAGCATCACAGAATGCTGGGTGATTAGAACAAAGTGTTCTTGCATTGAGGGAGTACTTGAGTAGAGGCCCAATGTCCATCTGCTACCTTAATACTTAACATATACATATATGTACATAGATCTATTTCCCTATAATTATACATTTACATATTTATATGCCTGTATTCAGACCTCTATAAATGGCCTTTGCCTCCTAATTCTTTATTCTATTGCCTTTTACTTTCCTCTTATCCCAGTATCATGTTCAGCCTTCATTCAGGTTTCAAAAAGTCTTCTCGGATACATTGCCCTTGATTAAGCCCCACCAGGCATCCTATACCCTCCTTGCCTTCGATTTCAGATTACTTGTTGTTCCCTTGTCCCTGGATTTGGAAACAGGATTCTTAAAAGAACCTGTGCCATTTATTATTCAGTCATTCAATTATCCATTCAACACATATTGCAATGCCTGCTATGTATCAAGTCATCCACACTTAGAAAGAGCCAACTATGCATGCTTCTTCACTATTACTACCAATTACATCAACCTTTATTCCAACCTGATGGACAGCAATGAAGCTGCCCTGAGCTAGCAATGAAAGCTGTCCTGGTGTCCACGTTGATGGAACATCTGGCGAAGATGCCTTTTGAAGTCACTGGTTTTCTGGCAAGTTCAGGCACGTTCATCCTTTCCTTCCTACCTTTTACAGAACGTTCCACAAATAGCAGGGGAGGGGCGAAGCAAGATCCCCAGGGAATGATGAGGGTGGACATTGGGGACAGGGCGTAGTGCCCCAACAGACTGGACTGGAAAACACTCTTAAAGGCCAGCGATCCTTGAACAAACTATAAGCTTTTCTTTCTTGGTATATTTTAATTTGTTCTATGTCAGTGGCTTGATATTGTTGCTGTTTTGTTGTACATTGTTGCTTGGTTTTGCTGTCTTGTTTTTGTGCATGTTGTTGTTTCCGCAGGGCTGTCTGGATAGGACAGGCTGGATGAACAATCTGGAGGAGAAAACAACGGGACTGACAGTTCCGGG